TATATATATATATATATATATATATATATATATGTGTGTGTGTGTGTGTGTGTGTGTGTGTGTGTGTGTATATAATTATTTATTGTCATTAAAAACAATAACTTAAGTTAAGAATATAACAATTTATTTTAATTTTTTTAACAGAGTGCCTTTAAAACACAGTCTGTCTCCTCTCTGTTTAACAAAAGTTTATTAATAAAGAAAAGCCTTATTGAAACACTCTGTTATTACTAAGCTCTTTTTTTTTTTTTGGTAACATAATTGATAATGACTATGTTTAAGAAATGTTTTAAGAGTCACTAATTCATGAGCACAATATATGTAAAACATTGCTCCCCTTATTTAATAAACTGACTTATTCTAAAACGCAATAATAAATATGTAAAATAATGCTTTTGTAGTTGAAGATGGTCTTTTTTTTTAGGTTATGGTAAGTTCTACTTGGCTTCCCTTCTCTGGTGCTTGCTGTTATTAAAAAGAACCTAATATCTCAGTTTTGTAGTCTTTACTTGATGCCAAAACCAATAAAAGTGAGCAAAACCAAATGATTATAAAAAGATTATATTATATAGATAGGTTTGCCATTGTTCCAGATTTTTACAGAGGAGAACATAACACTAAACTAATTAAAACTTTTAAATTTGTATTTTATATTTTTCAGATAATATATCATGTTAAATTGTCATTTATTCATTACTTACTCGTATTAGGAGTTGCTTACTGCTAGTTAGATATTATTTAGGCCAGGTGAATAAAAATTTTTTTTACTTACCCAGGTAACTATTTTAGAGTATTAAATTAAATTACATAAAAATATCAAATATAATTAAATAACTATTAAATAGTATTAAAATTATTACGTAAATAAAAATTGTTTTTTTTTTTAAATTAAAATTTTTATTTTAGCCTAAGAATGAACCAGGAGTTTGCAAAATATTTCATAACAAAACAGCATATGTGGCAAAAAATAAAATATGCAATTCAGTTTTAAAACTTGCATTTGGGAGTACATCAAATTCGGAAAATATAAGATTGATATTAATAAAAATGAAATCTACTCCTATTCAGTCTAATCGGACTACACAGAAAAAAAAAAAAACAAGTATGTTAAAGTTCAAAATGTGCATCATATGATGGATTTTCTTTTAATGCTGAGGTACTCAAGTACTATTACCAATTTTATTACAAAGTGTGATATGAAATGCATAGGAGCTAAAAAACAGTTAAAAAATTAATAAGCTAAAGAGAATAATTTCTCAATAACAATTAAGCTAATGGACCAACTATAATTCCAAAAGCTATTTAAATGTAACATTACATTCTCCGCTGGATTGTTATAAATTAGTCCTTATTATCATAGAAGGTTTATGTGAATCATCAAAGTTCAATCATTATTTAAACTAACAGAGTATGGTATTCAAATCAGTAAATTCGCATCAACACAAGATGGAGCCAGCATTATGAAAAAATATGCACAAATAAATGGAATTTAAAACCAATTTTGCATCAACCATTCATTTTCATTTTATAGATTAGTTTTTTTCCAAAAAAAGATATTACTGTTGATAAAAGCCAGTCAATAAAGTTTCAAATTCTGAAAGTTCTGATTGTGATAAAGTAAACCAAAAATAGTTCTTCCCCCCCCCCCCCAACATCTACACTTCCAACATCTACATTTCCAACATCTACACTTCCAACATCTACACTTCCAACATCTACACTTCCAACAAGGCTGCAAGCAACCACTATTAGAGTTGGAAGTTACTGGAAGAGAAAAAATGAAGTTTATAGAGCAAGTTAACGATTGACAGACAACTTAAAAGATTGCAAACTATATGAATCAGGAAAGCAAAATGAAGGAAGCGAACTTAAAGTTTGCATTAAAAAAAAAAAATAAGGAAAAAATAAGACGTGAAAGTCTAAACAATAAAGATGATTTTTCTGTATTGCTAAATTTGATTAAAATATTAAAACTAAGGCAGTTCTACCAGTTCTGTTTTTGAAAGTTTTCCAAAAACAGAATTAGTAGAACTTCCATACTTTCCTAAGTTAATTGTCCTTGGCAACAATCTTAGCTCATAGATTCTTTTGTAATCCAGAACCACTACTATAATAGTGAGCTATGAATGAAAGTCATGTCGAGCCAATAGCAACAATTTCATGTTGTCATGGCATCTTTAGTACAGCAGACAAAACATGTGAAAATGCAAACAGAAACTGTTTTGTGTCATCCTTTAAAATAAACTAAAAATATTCAGTTTCGTCAAAACAAACTTGACAACTGTCAAAAACTTGTAAAATGTTTTTATCAATCCAACATACATCAACAGTAAGAAAGAGTTTTTTTAATCGTATGTAATTTCAAAGTTACATTCACCAATAAAACTTGATCTGTTGGACACACTAGTATTTCTAAAATATAACTTTATTAAAAAACATGATTTATAAGTGACAATTAATTTTTTTTATTTGCTGTATAATGACTAATTTTATGAGTATGCATTTCTTTTGGTGCTATCAAGTCCATTTTTTTTGGGTGGAAAATCAAGTACATTTTTATTTTGTGATAGTCAAGTAAAAACTATTTTTACTTTAGTGTTTGTGATGTGTGCCTTTTCAAGGGTACTTTGAAATATTTCTTTTGCTTCTTAAGTGTAAAAAAAAATGATTTTGGTAACATGTTTTTTTAGACTATTTTATTTTCTTTGGATTACAAAGAGTTGTTAGTCCTTGGCCTTGGCCTGGCATTAAGGCCAATAATTTAGGTCTTGGCCTTGGCTTTGAAACTGTTGGCCTTGTCCTTGGTCTTTAAAATTTTGGCCTTGGCCTTGATTGTTTTGGCCTTGAAAAAAAATACATACTTTTTATTGATTTTGGTTTCATTTTCACAGCACTTGCTACTTACAGTTTTGTGAAGAATTGGCCATAACGTATTGCAAAAATTGAAATCTTAAGTCTTAAAAATCTTTGTGTACGTCTTGGGCATGAAACTCTTAATCTTGGCTTTGACTTTAAAATTCTTGGCCTTCGCTTTGTCCTCATAATTTTTGGCCTTGGCCTTCTAACTTGTGGCCTTGGCCTTGCTACTTTTGGTCTTGTTAACAACTCTGATTACAACTTCAATATTTAATGTAAGTAAAAGTTTAAGTTACAGTAACAATAAAACTAGTGTAAAACCGGTTAACTGGTTTTACATTAGTTAACTGATTAACCTTAAAACTAGTTAACTGGTTTTACACTGACATTTGTTACTGTAATTTTTTAAACTTTACTTTGTAATTAACTGAAAACCAGTTTTTGAACTTTTCCAGTTCTCTCCAAGCTCTACACATTTAATTTTTGCAAACTTTCAACAACTTACACCATTATGGTAAAATAAATAAAATAGTTAAAAAAAGGTATAATAAAAAATAATTCTAGGCAACTATTTAGATTATCTAAATAGTTGCCTAAAATATAAAATTTAATATCCAAATTATGTTAAATATAATATTTAAGTTATATAAATACTTGATTTGGACAAGTAATTTCAAAAGTAAATTCAATCAATCAATAACCAACTAGTAAAATGATAAAAGTAAATTGAAAAAATGTTTTGAAAAAAAAACTTCTGAAGTGAGTTGCCAAATTGTATAAAAACTTTGAGTTATACTAAATTTTCTGTATTTTATTATTAAAATTAGTTTATGCCAAATTATTAAATAAAAATTTAAAAGCTCAAAGTATAAATCACACTTAAACCACTTATATAAACTCCTGGATTCAAAGAGGTATAGACTCCTACGTAACCTTCTGGATTCAGGGAGGTATGGAAACTTTTATTCCTTCTCATCAGTTCCACATCAAGCCTTATTCTACCCCAAAGTTTTCACCTTCTTGTGTAGCTCCCATATCATATCATAATCATTTTTTTCATCTTTTTCAAAAGAACAACTCTCTTCAAAACAAACGCCTATTTAACAGAGCAAGAAATCAATGTAAAAAGGTCCTGTTTTGATGCTAAGCTCCGTTATTCTCAGTTTATTAAATCTTGTTATATAACATCTTATTTCAGATGTTATGTTCTAGAGACTTTTGTAAAATCTTTAACAGTGTCTTTAACTTTAGTCTAACATTCCATCTCTAATTCATGGGTTTGATGGGTCTGATATTATTACGCCCCAGAATAAGGCAGAGTGACTCCTGAACCTAATGGCCATTTCCTTCCTTTCATTCCAATTAAATGGATTAACCCATTGTTAGACATCCAAATCACTCCAGCTTCCTATGCTAAAGTCATAACTCAATTAAACTCTTCTACGACTTGTGGTCCAGACAACATTCTTGTCTTGACAACAGTCTTACAAAAGTGTTATCCAGAACACTCTCTATTTCTCTCTAAACTATTTAATAAATGCTTGACTGAATCTTGTTTGGCATCTGTAATGCCAAACAAGATTCAGAACATTCTGACTCCTTCAACAATTAAACAACCGATCTTCTCTCTATTATTTGCAAGGTTATTAAGTAATTAACAATTAAATCAAAAAATTTTTCCAACATTCCATCTTGAGTCAAATAACTTACTGTCAGACAATTGATACGTTTTTCAATCTTTTTTTTTCTGACTTGCTAACTACTGTGACTAAAAGATTCTTTCATGCATTTGATGGAGGCGGGGAAGAAAATGGAATGAATAATTGATGCTTAGAGTAAAATGTTTGAAGTGGTTATAAGAGGAACAAATAAATCTTGATAAATGGAATAAATGATCATTTAATTTTTAGAGTGGAATGAATAGATAACTGATTCTTTAAATGGAAAGATGCTAAGAGTGAAATAAATAAATGCTTAGAGTGGAATGACTAATTGATGCTTATAATAGAATGAATGTTTGATAGTCAAACAAGCGAATGCTTAGAATGGAATGAATGAATATTTGGAGCTTAAGATAATATGAATGACTACTTGGTGCTTAAAAGTAAAATAACGATAAATAAAACTAAAAAAAAAATACTAACCTGAGTGTCTTCACATGGCAAATTAAGCAATGATTCCTAAATGAAACAAAATTTTAATTAAATCAAAATATTACTTTAAATAATATGCATATTTATAAATTATAAATATTTTAATTAAACCAAAATATTACTTTAAATATTATGCATATTTATATATTATAAATATTTTAATTAAATCAAAATATAACTTTAAATATTACGCATTTTTATATATTATAAATATTTTAATTAAATCAAAATATTACTTTAAATAATATGCATAAATATATATTATAAATATTTTTTAAATATTTATAATATATAAATTATTACTTTAAATAATATGCATATGCTTTAACATATTTTCAATAACGCTTAAACTTAAAATGAACTAGAAGAAAACATTTCAATCTTTAGGACCAAGAGCAGAAAACATTTCAATCTTTAGGACCTAGAATAGGCAGGATCTGAATAGGGTGATTTTAAGGATTTTTTTTTTAAGGCCAAGTAAAAGTTATAAGCATGGTAAATAGTTTTTTTATAAAAACAAAACAAAACAAAAAACTAATTTACTAAAAACTAAAAGTATACTAAATTGGAAGTTACTAGTAAACAAAGAACAGAGTTAAAAAAAAAAAGTTTGACAGAAGACTTAAAAAGTTGTAGGTTGTATGAGTCAGGAAAGCATGAAGAAGAGAGATAGTTCCAAAGCATTGAAGTGCAGGCAAAAAAAGTAGATGAATAAAAATGTTTATAGCATGAAGGGTCAGATGCAGAAAAAGATGCAAGTTTGCATCTTTTTCTGCATCTGACCCTTCATGCTATAAAAATAATGGAATTAGAAATAATAGCTTCTTTGAAAAGTGACCGTGATAGTATTTGTAGAAAAGAGAAAATGATGCAACTTTACAACGATGGGAGAGGCTTAAACTTGGCCGATAAAACAAGTCCTTGGCCGAAAAAACATGTCCTTGGCAGATAAAACAATCCTGCTCCCTTCTCTAGATGAGAAAGAGCATCATTAGAAGAACAAGCCTAAATATGACAACAGCTAGTAATAAAGAAAAATTGTAGAGAATTCATAATTGTATCTAATTGTAGAGAACAAGAACTGATAGTTAAAGGGACCAAAGTGTTCTCCAAAGTTTTTTAAAAATTGACACCACAGTTATCATTTTGCAGCAGGCAGGAAAACAAGATTCAGTCAAGCACATATTAAATAGTTTACAAAGAATCAAAGAGACTTGAACACTTTTGTAAGACTATGACAAGAATGTTGTCTGGACCAAAAGCCATAGAAGAGTTTAAATTAGAAATGACTATAATAATGGAAGCCGGAGTGATTTGGATGTTTAACAATTGGTTAACATATTTAAGTGAAATAGCAGAAAGAGTATGATCATTAGATTCAAGAAACAAATTAAAGGAAACGTTCTTTGCAAATAGTTCTGCCTAATTCTTGGGAGAAGTAATAAGATAAAACCCATGAATTAGAAATAGGACGTTTGACTTTTGTTAATGACACTGTTATAGATTTTCCATATATATATATATATATATATATATATATATATATATATATATATATATATATATATATATATATATATATATATATATATATATATATATATATATATATATATATATATATATATACATATATATATATATATATATATATATATATATATATATATATATATATATATATATATATATATATATATATATATATATATATATAAACACACACACATAGCAACAATATATACTAAGCAGCTGTGTTCTATATGGATAACATCTATATTTTGAATACTTAGCTACTAGATTATATATGCAATAGAAAAAGATAACTAATTAATAACATTAATATATAAATTACTAAAATATTTATAATATTTACTTCATTTTCTCTCAGTGTATCACTACTACAACTTGTTTTACTAGCTGAATCTAATAGCACACTTTTTAATAACTTTGTTGACGGTGTTATTTTTCCATCCAAACTACTTGCTCTTTGGTCTGATGGTTCTCCTTGTCCAGCTGGTAAAATACTTGACATTGTGCTAGAAGAATCTTCCCACCTAACGAGGTCCTCCTTAGAGGGTGATAAATCGTTGTCAGACTTCAGCTGTTGCTCTTTGTTTTGTTTTTCATCTAGACCATCAAAGATATCTTCTACTTGTTTCCGTTCGTCTTCAACATTCCAATTTTCAATTTCCTCATCACCTGAAGCTAATATATATATATATATATATATATATATATATATATATATATATATATATATATATATATATATATATATATATATATATCATAATAATAATAATAATAATAATAAAAGTTAAACATTTTAAAAATAATTCCACTCTTAAAAAGTTACTTAAAAATTGACAATTAAATAATATTTTAGCTGTATAAAAAAATTGATAAAAAACTATTAAAAAAACCTCTAATAAACGAAAATGCATTTAAAAAAGAAATGAAACTACTCTGATAAATTAAAATAATAATTTAAATGATAAAATGATCTAAGATTGTAAATGCAATCAAAAATCTCAAATGTGTCAACAATATTTATTAATAATATATATCAAGTATATTTGTAAAAAACTCAATAAACAATATATAACTTTAATTCAGGGTGTTTGGAAATTTTGCAAACCATAAACTATTTTTTGAACAAAAAAAATTCATAAGACATGCTGATAAAATATACATGGGATTTAATTGATAAAAGCATTATTGATTTAATTTTTAAACTAAAACTATTCTTTATTTATTCTTGATTATTAATTTTATTCTAAAAACTAGAGATCTTATAATAGTGGTTTCATTGGAGTCATAGTCACTTATTTCATTGGAGTCATAGTCACTTATTTCATTGGAGTCATAGTCACTTATTTCATTGGAGTCATAGTCTCTTATTTCATTGGAGTCATAGTCTCTTATTTCATTGGAGTCATAGTCTCTTACTTCATTGGAGTCATAGTCTCTTATTTCTTTGGAGTCATAGTCTCTTATTTCATTGGAGTCATAGTCTCTTATTTCATTGGAGTCATAGTCTCTTATTTCATTGGAGTCATAGTCTCTTATTTAATAAAGAACTAGATTCAGTCCAAATATCAGTACTAAATAAAACTTAAGTAAAGCTTTTTATTGAATCAACTTACTAGCTACTTACTAGCTTAACTTTTTTACCACTGTTTTGTTTTAATTCCCTATTTTAATACCTACTTTAAAAATTCATACTTACCTTTTAATACCTCCACTTTAAAAACTCATACTTACCTATTAAGTACATTTAACTGACTTATATGTAACTTTTTACCTTCATTTATTATATTATCGCTTTCTTCATTCTCACTTGATGACACTTCTTCATCTACATATTCTTCTTCAGAATCATTTTCCATTTTCATCTGCTTGGATCTTTCAAGACTACTTTGCAAGCGATTATTTATAATCTTTTCTTTTAATTGCTTTTTCAAAACTAATCGATTCTCTCCTAATTGAAATAATCAAATCAAATATTTAACAACAAAATTATAGCATATAAATACGCTGCCATTGGCTAGCACTTAATTCCTTTTTTTTTTTTTTTTTGATACATCCTAAGCTACATTTCAGAGATTATTATGTCATTTTGCAGTTAATAACAAAGAAAAATACATTAAAGTATCTTTTTCAAAATTTAGAATTCATTAGAATTCACAAAACCATTAATTATAAAATCGTAAACATATGTTTTAATGACTCAATTAAATTTAAAAAAAGTATTGTCAAAATCACTAATATAAAATTCTGAGACTCCCATATAAGCACAAAACATTTTATGAGATTCTTCAATAAGTACTAACCCCTCTCCCACTACATAAAACTCAACAACGTAGTATAGAAGAAAATCTCATTAAAAGTCGCTCAATTAAGTTGAATTAGTTACAAGCTTTGTTACTTAGTAACAATTTCAAACCTGCTACATACAAAACAGAATATAATTAGTTAAATTTATCATAAAATATAGTTTGTACCTGGAATTTGAGAACTTTTTGTTTCTATAATCTTAAATTGATTTTTTTTGTTTTCAGCAAATACCAATAATGGATCAGGAATTTTCTGCTTGTTTGTTTGTTTTGCAAGTTTCTGAAAAAAAAAAAATTAGTTTTATATCTACTCTTATATTTTAATTACAATACTCTTTTAGTTTTTATATTTTGTAACAAAATCACAAAAAAAAAGTCAATAATTTTATCTCTATGATTTAGAAAATCATCAATTTTATCTCATTAACTATATCAAATATTCTAGTATACACTAAAACAAATGTAATGTATCAGGAAGGCTAGGAAATATCAAATTATGTTGTATATAAAAAAAAAATTTACACCATTTTTATTTTAAAACACAAAAAGTTTATTAGAATTAGAATACTTTTCAAAAGTCAACTGACATAAATTTTCAATTCAATAAAGAAAAAAATATAGGTTTAATAGAAAGCAAACATTTTTACTGTCAACTACTTTAAACTCAAAAAAAAAAAACTTTTCGAATAACCTAAAGCCATAAAGAGCTTTTTGGATAAATTTTGCCATGTCTCAAAAAGGATTCCGGATTTGAAAGTCACAAAAAAAATTACTTCTTTCTAGTTTTTGGTATCAAGGAGCTTTAAATAATTAAAAAAGCTTAGGAGCTACTAATGGGGAAAAAATCAAGACTTATAGGTCAGACGAACAATCAATTTTTGAAGCTGGAATCCTTAGGTATAATGGCGACAAGGACTCCGGGATTCCGGGCTTAAAAACAATAACTTCCAAGTCATTAAATATCATAAATTTTTTTCTTATAAGAGAACATTATACAACCAACATGTTAAGAGCTTCTGGACACCTGAGACCATGAAAAAATAAAGTTATAAACCCGGAGTCCTTTTGGGACTCTGCATCACTTTTTTTTTTCACAATTTCATTGAAATACACAGTTGCGTGTATACTAATGAAATTATTTACAGTAGCATAATATAAACACAAATAAAAAATGTATTTTGATTGCAGTAATATTTTAATAGATATATTCTTTTTTTTAGAAGAAATGTCTTATAACAAACTATTTAATAAAGCAAAGTTCTTTAGAATCTCTTGTCTATCTTATCTTGTCTAATATTTCAATAATAATGTTGACTATTTAATAACATTAAAAAATATTCTGATTCTAATATGATAATAAACTGATTAAGAAAAAAAGGTAAAGGTAAGAGGAGCTTGTTAATCATGTCAATCATTAATCATGTTAAGTTTCCTAGTAATGCCACAATAAAAATACTCAAAAACATTTAATGTTTAAAAACATATCCATTTGCTAAAATCTGCTACAAACTGCCATTTCAGAAAGAAAAAAATTTGTTCAGATTGTTATAACAACATCTAATGGTCTCAAAACTATTACATCACTATCTCATCATCAAAACTATTACATCACTATCTTATCATCAAAACTATTACATCGCTATCTCATCATCAAAACTATTACATCACTATCTCATCATCAAAACTATTACATCGCTATCTCATCATCAAAACTATTACATCACTATCTCATCATCAAAACTATTACACCACTATCTCATCATCAAAACTATTACATCGCTATCTCATCATCAAAACTATTACATCACTATCTCATCATCAAAACTATTACACCACTATCTCATCATCAAAACTATTACATCACTATCTCATCATCAAAACTATTACATCACTATCTTATCATCAAAACTATTACATCGCTATCTCATCATCAAAACTATTACATCACTATCTCATTATCAAAACTATTACATCGCTATCTCATCATCAAAACTATTACATCATTATCTCATCATCAAAACTATTACATCACTATCTCATCATCAAAACTATTACATCGCTATCTCATCATCAAAACTATTACATCACTATCTTATCATCAAAACTATAAATCACTATCTCATCATCAAAACTATTACATCACTATCTCATCATCAAAACTATTACATCACTATCTCAAAACCAAGTCATTTTTTATGAAGTTTAAATTGTATTGATTTCAATTTACTAAATATTTACTTAAGTGAAGGAAACACATGTGATGCTATGTCATTTGACATGATATAGTGTGATGGGAAAACGTCACACTATATCATGTCATATATAACAACATTTAATATTAAAAACATTTACAAATCTACACATAATTCTAAACATAATTCCTAATTAAATGCTTAACCAAGATGCTCTGTGAAATGATTATCAAGACAGTCATTCTCCTGTTGTTGTAAGATTGGATCTCTTTTACTTTTCTACAAATACTATCATAGTCACTGCTTAAACAAGCTATTATCTCTAATTCATCTATTATTACTATTAACTATTACATCTGTAGTACTATCTACAAAAACTCATTCTCACTTGACTTGTTATTCAGCAAAGTTGCATTCTTTTAATGTATCTGTCCCTTCATACTCTTAAAACTTTTATTCATCTAGTTTTCCCAGCACTTAAATATTTTGGAACTCTCTCCCATCTTCATGTTTTCTTGACATGCAACCTTAAATTTTTTAAGTCTTCAGTCAAGACACTGAAATAAAAAAAATACACACAAAAATAAAAAAAATAAAAAATTTAAATTCACCTGCAGAAATGAATCCAATTCATTTGTTTCTTTATTAGATTTTTCATCAAAATCGAATTCAATTGAACCAGCAGACACATTAAGCTTTGGTTTTCTTCCGATAATTTGCTGGTATGGTGAAGTTTCACAATCCTTTTTTAACTTCTCGTCCTCTTTACTAAGGATAATTGTCATTATTTTATTTAATTAAAGTTGATTTAATACTAATAAAAATCACTGATGTTCAGTAGCATAGCGATAAAAAATGGACCCCCTGCAAAATATTATTTTGGGCCTCTAAATTACTTCTCTACCAACCCTTCTCCTTTTTTGACACAAAAATTATGCATGAAATCAAAAACCTTATTCTTAAACACAATTTTAATTTAATGACATAAAAACCAATGAAATCAGACTTACATGCTGTAACCATGCATTGACCAATATTAGGTTCAATGCATGAACCTAATATTGGTCAATAAATCCTCCAAATCGACTGCAACAATATCTGAATGTAGCTGCTGCATTGCTGTAACATCAGCAGATTGTGAGTGGGGATTTAATCCAATGACCAATATAATGAAATCAATTAGGTCATGGGTTACAACAATGTTCATTAATGCTCATTAATGTTTATAAAATTAGTAAGCCCACCTTTTTATTTGTTAAATCCTTAATGTTATGCCTAGACATGAATTGAAAGACATGCCTTAGCTGATGATTTAACTGATGACTTCTGTTATAGATACACAAATACCAAAGGGTCAATAAAGTGATTACAAATTGCGATATCAGGAAATTTTTCTGGCCTTTAAATTTTTAGTTATTATTATTATTATCAGAAAATGGCTTTAACTTCAATAGCTTAATTCATTTGATAAATCATATGATAAAACTAGAAAAATATAGTAGTTGTAATAAGTTAGTTAAAATAAGTTGCAATGTGGGCTTATCGGCTTGCACAAAGTAGCCCATCTGTGGATAAGCCACTGTAGTAACTATGCTGGAGGTTGTCCAGCAGATTCTTGAATGTATTGTTTCTGAGTTCACAGTATTGTCAGATAGCCAATTCCAATAGTTCATGATTCTGTTTGTGAAAAAATTGCTTCAGTGTGCTGTTGCTGACTAATTCTTTGCTGAGTTGTCCTCTTTCAAGAATTTTTTGGTCCTTTTTTGTCAATGATGACCAAGTGAAAAATGCCTATTCTAAATGTTGTCTGACATGCTGTATAGAGTTTCTTGTATAATGTTAGGTCTCACATAGAGTTGCAAAAAAAACCGTTTTTTTTTAATTGTGTTTTTTTTGCAAAAAAAACATGTTTTTTTTGTGTTTTTTGTGTTTTTTATGGTTTTTTTTGTTTTTTAGATTAAAAAAAAAATTATTTACTTTTATTTAATTTTTATTTTTATTATAAATGTAATATAATATATATTAATAACATGATATATGGTAAATATATAGTACATCATTTAAAAGATTTATTTTTAATTAATAACAGATTCTGTATTCTGGCTTTCTTGTTCATTAAGGTCTTCTATTGCCTGGCATATTTTTTTTTAGATTTCTTTTTTTTTTTTTAATTAAAAATAATTAATAGATTACAAATTGTTTAATATAAATGTTTTTTCATTAGACAAAGTTAATCATTGCGTTATTTTTATTTACTTAAATATTGTTTGAATAAATAAAATTTTAGCTATCTAATTGCAATTTAAAATAAAATAAAGAAATTAAATATTAAAAATTTAAAAAAGTAATATACAAAAGTAAATAAAACATTAAAGTAAATTTTATTTAACAGTTGGTTCATTTTTGTATTTTGCAATGCAGTGTTATTTCATTCATTTTTATGAATGAAATAACACTGCTAAAATAACATTTTTATTTCCTTCATTCAGTAGTATTATACTTACAATCAACTAGTAGCTAATAGTATAGTTTTTTTGAGATTTATTTAAAAAATTACTTTTTTAAATATTTAATACTGTTTTTTTTTAATATTGGTGATTAGTTTGTAACAGCTATTATATAAGTTAATATGCATTTTATTAAATAGAAAACATAAGTTTTTTTTTGTATGTTTAAGGGCACTGGAACTGTTTCAAGTATTATTATTATCTAAAATTTAATGAATACTAAAAAAAAGCAAAAAAAACTATAAAAAACATGTTTTTAGAACCAGTCTGTTTTTTTTGCAAAAAAAACGTGTTTTTTTTAAAAAAAACACACCGTTTTTTTTGGGGTTGCAACTCTAGTCTCACAATATAAATGTATTTTTCAATAGACAGAGAATAGATCTACTATAGAATGTTTAGATAACAAATTGTTACCTTATCTTTGTTACATTAATTGATATGGCGTTTTCAGAAAAAGAAGAAAAAATGAAGAATAATGAATAAAAGATTGTTGTCCCATGTAAAACCCTCAGTCAATGTAGCGATACTCCCTTGTGGCAGCAGGGTATAATACTAAGATATTCAATCTATGTACTATCCTAGCAGCAAGCTATTTCTAGTGTGACATCAGAGATGTTATCTAAACAGACATTCATAGTTAGGTTTAAATGCACATGAAACTAGTAAATGACCAGGACCTCCAGGCTAAACATAATTTTTACAAACCTGGATACTTAAATTTTTGGAGAACATAATTTAGCCTTGCGTGTATATAAATAAAAATATATTTACCTAGTACTTTTCAGTTTAGGAACTCGCTTTAAAAATTCTTGGATTGGTCGTACCTTAGGAACGTGTGACGGAATTTTAAAAGTTTGCTCTAAATATTTATATGCGTAATATTAACAAGGTTTATTAAAAGGTTTATTGCAAATACATTTTAAATTTTATTTTTATATAAAAACAATTGCAAATACAAATAAGTTAATTTAATAAATTATTATAACTTTAATTAATAATGGTGTAGTGTAATGGACATCATAAGTCTCATTGTTAAATAACTGTTTTATTACTAAAAACTAAAAAGTTTTATTAATAAAATATTACTATAATAGATAATTTTTAAACATATATTTTTTTCCTCTTACTTATAAAGCAAAAGCTTTACCTCTAGTTATGTGCCATCGACTACGGCCGATTAAGGCTAATAATAGGGTTTAATGTAAGTTTATAAAGATAATATCCTAATATTAGGTATGCAATTTTTATATATAAGGTATGCCTATGCACCAGTTTGATTTGGCTTATTATCCAATGCTGATGCATTGGCAAATGCTGATTAATCAACCAATGCCATCAGCCGATTAATCAGCCAATGGTTAAGCTGATTGATTGGTTGCTGGTTACTAATAGCATAGGTTAATAGGTTGAATCACTTCTGATGAATAGGTACACATTGAGTATGTAATTTAAACCTTTAATATTATTATAATACCCTTAAATAAATACATTAAACCTATTATTAGCCTTAATCGGCCTTAGCCGATTTATTATTGTTATTGTTACAGAATTGCCGAATTATTATTGTTTTACAGAACGTAATATAAAGAGTATTAAATTTAAAAACAAGAAAACTTGTAGGTGTAGCTTTTTTAAAGCTTCAAACATTTCAAAGACTTTTATAGAACACTGTTAATGATTAACTGTGTGGTGATAAATAGTGATGGCACATCACTATTTACCACCTTAACATTATTAGCCTATTATTATAGATTTTATTTTGGAAAAAATTGTAAATTACATAATTTATGGATTTTATTTTTGAATGATGCTACTGTTTTGATGAAGCCAGATAAGACAAAAACGAGTATTGTAGGTCATTGTGATATTCTTTAATAAAAGGCACTAATCACTTCTTGATGCATTGTTCCAAGTTAAAATTTTGGTTAACTGCAAAACCACTGAGGAAAAAGTATGGTCTTGACATTCCTTTATCAGAAATACACTATCAGGCAAGCATTTTTTAGTAAAATTTTATAGTTTTTCTATATTTTACACGCACAAGAGTTTTTTCAACACTAATTGAGTTAAAAATTATTATAATTGATTGTACTGTGAGCCAATGTGAACTAAGATTCATTATTGAATTAATGATGCATTATTTTCCTATATGGTCACATCTTCGCCAATTTGTTTCTTGATGGACATTACGTCACATTGGTATCTTTTTTATTTTATGGCAACTGACGCTGGCCTTTTTTTAAAAAAATAAATAATTAGTGTTGTCCAACAATAAAAATTTTGAGCAGCATGCATTTGGGAAACTCCATTATGGTGATCAAACATGATTTTAAAGTGCCTAATATTTTTTTCATTCTTTTTTTTTTGACAAAATGACCACTTCCTTTAACTCTTTTATAATCAGGATTATGTGGGAGATGGTTGGTTTTAAATTTTTTCTATTTGAAAATGGTTTAAGGTGAACTTCTTTCTATAAGATCAATGCGGTAAATAAAATTTGTAAATTTGTTTTCTTGTTTTAAGATTGTTTTACAGAACGTAATATAAAGAGTATTAAATTTAAAAACAAGAAAACTTGTAGGTGTAGCTTTTTTAAAGCTTCAAACATTTCAAAGATTTTTATAGAACACTGTTAATGATTAACTGTGCAGAAATGTTTGTTCTTTTTTATTTTCCTTAGCTAATAATATTAACTAAAATAAAAATAGATATGCTTAAATCTCATTTAAAAATATGCAACTTATATAAATAATATGCTGTCATCTTTTTAGTTAAATTCATTAACTTTTAATGTATTTAATAATAAAATATATTTAATATAATATATATCTTAGTATAATTAAATAGTTCTATTTTCAAATTTTAATTCTAATAATAATAATTTGCAAAACTAAAAGGCCAATGAAAACTTAATTAAATAAAAACCTCCAAAATCAATTTAAAAAGATTTTACAGTTAAGTCAGAGCCTAAAGTTAAGTCAGAGCTCACAGTTTTTTATTTTAAAATCGAGTGCAGTGCTCTAAAAAAATTAAAAAACCCCCTGGTTTTTTTTTAATTTGAAATTATAATAAAATAGCAACATTTAAAAGACACAGTAACCTTTTAAAAAAATAATAAACTTAATAAAATTATCAATTAATCAATACCTCTAGACATTCTTTGCAGTTCACTTTTTACTTCTTGAACTTCACTTTTACGAATTCGCTTTACTTTAATCTAATATAAATTTAAGATTAAATTCATTTTATTATAATTTAGTGCTTATTTTGTTTAATATTAAACTATCTATTAATATAATATAGAAATAAATATTGTTATATATAATTAAATATAAAATATATATTTTGAATTACTCAATATCATTGCTCTAATATGAAACAATATATAGAGAACAAAACAATAAAACATTGCTGGATATGATAAAGTCAAAGAAAATAGATTCACCATCAGAAAAATAAACAAAAGAAACACTAAGTAACAGATTGTACCATATATTTTGTTTCAATAAAACACAACATTAACATTGCAATAAATTAAAACATTAACATCGCAATGACATCGCAAATGGCGGATATGGTTTTTAACGGTGAAAAGGAAAAAAAAATAAGAAAAATAAAAAGATAAAGAAAATCAAAAATTATTCTTTTAAAAAAAGACGAATAAAAAAATAACAGTAAACAATATAAAAACAAGATCAAATAATATAAATAGATAAAATGACTGAGGAGAAAAAAGAACAGAAAAAAACAAAAACTACCGTAAATTAAATATAATCACTACAATGGGCATTGTAGTGAATAGTTCATATTGTTATGCTTTAGTGCATTGTTTGGATTGTTCTGTATTTTTTATTTAGTTTAATGTTGCCAACTTTGTATAGTTAGCTATTGTGTTTATAAAAACAACTGGCTTAATATGTTTATTATTATTGTTATAACTTTTATTATTGTTTATGTTGTTTAATTATTATTTTAGATTTTATGTCTATTTCTATAAACACTATTATTATTATTATTATTATTATTATTATTGCTATTATTATTATTGCTATTATTATTATTATTATTATTATTATTATTATTATTATTATTATTATTATTATTATTATTATTATTATTATTATTATTATTATTATTACTATTTTAAAATTATTATTAATTTCATATATAAAGATTTGTATTTTTGGTGTTTACTTAATATTAGTAAAATTACTATTTGTAAGTATCCATGAAAATATTTTTCAGAATATATGATTAATTAATTATATGAAAAAAATATAGGCAAACAGTAATTAGTAAAAATATAATAATATATAATAATAATAATAAAAATATTAATAACAAAACAACTTGACCATTAATGAAAGTGATTTTACTGCTCTCAATGCCTTTATTAAAAGTATAACTTCATCTAATTTTTTGGTTGTGATGATCTAATCATCAAAACAGTGATATTTAAATTTATGAGCTTTTGTTGCATAATTGTGTGACAATTATAAAATACCAAAAAAACCTATTTAATGCCTAATTTTTAGACCATTTTGAAAAATAAAGGCAGATTCAATTAAGTTGTGAGCAAAATATTTTAGGCTCGAATTGTCTAAAATGTTTTAGACCAGTAAATTTTATGTTTATGCTTTTTTAATTTATCAATTTATTAAATAGATTTTTGAAAATTGAATTAAAATGTCAAATTGTGTTGTCCATTCCACACAAAAATGTGCAAAAATGCTTTATAAATCTATAGATATTTCTTGTGATAATTATAGCGCAAGTTGTTTAAATAAAAGTTACATCATTTATATAAAAAGAAAAATAATTTAGAATATATAAAATGTGATCAGTGTCTTTTTTAACTTGAAGATGACGAGCTTCAACTAAAACAACATAATTAGTTTTTCTTAGTATACTTTTTTTTTTTTTTTTTACTCAAAAGCATTTAACCCAAACAATTTTTTTTATCATTCTTTTTAATATGAACTTGTCTTAGCAATTTGGGATCCCTTTAAAAAAACTCAGATTAAGCAATTTTAACTAAACTATATTTGGCTCTTAAAAACTAAACTATATTTGGCTCTTAAAAACTAAACTATATTTGGCTCTTAAAAACTAAACTATATTTGGCTCTTAAAAACTAAACTATATTTGGCTCTTAAAAACTAAACTATATTTGGCTCTTAAAAACTAAACTATATTTGGCTCTTAAAAACTAAACTATATTTGGCTCTTAAAAACTAAACTATATTTGGCTCTTAAAAACTAAACTATATTTGGCTCTTAAAAACTAAACTATATTTGGCTCTTAAAAACTAAACTATATTTGGCTCTTAAAAACTAAACTATATTTGGCTCTTAAAAACTAAACTATATTTGGCTCTTAAAAACTAAACTATATTTGGCTCTTAAAAACTAAACTATATTTGGCTCTTAAAAACTAAACTATATTTGGCTCTTAAAAACTAAACTATATTTGGCTCTTAAAAACTAAACTATATTTGGCTCTTAAAAACTAAACTATATTTGGCTCTTAAAAACTAAACTATATTTGGCTCTTAAAAACTAAACTATATTTGGCTCTTAAAAACTAAACTATATTTGGCTCTTAAAAACTAAACTATATTTGGCTCTTAAAAACTAAACTATATTTGGCTCTTAAAAACTAAACTATATTTGGCTCTTAAAAACTAAACTATATTTGGCTCTTAAAAACTAAACTATATTTGGCTCTTAAAAACTAAACTATATTTGGCTCTTAAAAACTAAACTATATTTGGCTCTTAAAAACTAAACTATATTTGGCTCTTAAAAACTAAACTATATTTGGCTCTTAAAAACTAAACTATATTTGGCTCTTAAAAACTAAACTATATTTGGCTCTTAAAAACTAAACTATATTTGGCTCTTAAAAACTAAACTATATTTGGCTCTTAAAAACTAAACTATATTTGGCTCTTAAAAACTAAACTATATTTGGCTCTTAAAAACTAAACTATATTTGGCTCTTAAAAACTAAACTATATTTGGCTCTTAAAAACTAAACTATATTTGGCTCTTAAAAACTAAACTATATTTGGCTCTTAAAAACTAAACTATATTTGGCTCTTAAAAACTAAACTATATTTGGCTCTTAAAATGATATTTTTCAAATTTGATAAAAAATTAATCATCGCTGTCTAAATAGGTATTATTTTTCATATTACAGGTTTAATTTAAAACACTTTTGTTTTCATAAAAAAGACTATGAATTGAAAGCAGATTGGCATTTTTTGACACAGCACATGTGATGAGTAAGGTGGTACAGGTAAAAGATTAATAAACTGTCCTTTTAGGGGCCAATTGAGAATCAACCTTTTAAGATTTTGACACCAAAAGACTTATTTTTAGTAGCTAAAGAAAATTGTAACATCAGGTATATAGCATTTTTTTATCTTAGTTTAAGCGCATTTTTTTTTTATCATAATGGAATTTTAAACTGAGAAAATTTAAAATAGCTTATATTATTATTTGTTACAAAAAGTCAATCCTATTTTTTTTAAAGAAAATTGTATAGAAATTAATTTATTAAAACAAAACTTTACTAAATATATTATTATAAAATTGTCTCTAGATTTATCTGATTTAAATTCATTTTTATATTTTTCTATGTATCTGAAACCAAAACAGCTAATACAAATGAAGTACTAACTAAACAATTTGAGAAATTGACATTTTGTTCCTTCCATAAAAAACTTGCAAATTATATTATTTCTCAGCTCAATCATGCTGTTTGAAAGCAAATGCAACATCAATAAGCAGTAAATTTGACATTCTTGATATGCTGAAAGTTACTTGTTTACAAGAGTTACTCAATTTTGGAATCAATATAATAATAAATAAATAATGCCTAAGGCAATAGCCTAATGTGAATTTGACATAATAAAATTCTCTTAATTTTTTTTATTTTTTAAAGAAATTATGATTTTAAAATTAAATTAAATAAATTTTTAATTGAGATTTTTTATTTAAAAAAAATTAGTGAGTAACAAATAAAAAAACTACATTAATTTATTTACTTTATTTATTATAAGTTTATTATTTTATTAATGATTTTGTTATGAAAGCATATTTTTAAGATTATTTTTCCAAACATCATTTAGTAAAATTATATCGCTGATATAATGCTATGTATCTTTTATTATAAATATTTTTTTTGTTTTGTGTAAATTTTTGATGCAGCTCTTTATTTATAATTTAATTTTGAGTAAAAAAAAATTGTTTAGGAAGGAAAAAAATAATTGCAATAAAAATTAGTTCATTTTTATTTTAAAAACAAATAAAATGTAAATATTTTTCAATATTTAGTAATACTTTTAAATAAATTTGACAGTTAAGTTCAACCTTAGCAATAACTTTGATTTTAATAAACTTAAATATAATTTTTAAATCAAAATTAAATTATATGTTTTATGCATCTAAATTAAATTTTTTTTTTTTTATCAGAATAAAATTATATATTTTTATTAAATTAGTTCTAAATTAAATCATATATTTTTTTATCAGAATTAAATTATACTATTATGATCTTTGCTTCAAGCTTAAAGTATTAGCATTTTTCATGCAAAAAAACACAATCATTGCAATAAAATAAAAATAAATTTTTAATTTTATTTGATTTTTTTATTTGTAAATAGTGCTTATAACATAATTGTCACTCAAACTTTTGTAACATAATTACATAAACATCATCAAGTTAATTTGATTTTTTTAAAAACTAATTCTTTTATCTTATCACTTATAGAATAATTTAAAAGTTAAAAAATGATCAAAAGTCGTTTAACCAAAATCACTTACTGCTTATGTAAAATCACTTAAAACGTATGTAAATCACTCTGCCTAACGCTTTAAAACAAGTCCTGCATTGGTATCCTGTGTGTGATATGGCCATGATACATTTTTTAAAATTTAAGATAGAAGTAAAACAAATGATCATATATTAATATTTTTTAATTATCAATTGATTATCTATTGGAAGGTAAAAACCAAACCTACTAATAAAAGCTGTTTATAAGAGTTATTATTAGTAGGTCTGGTTTTTACCACAAAAGATTATTAAAGAAAGAATCTTTTTTATTTTTATTATAGAATTCTATAATAGTCCTTATATATTACAGAAGTCTTTTAAAAAAATGTTCATCATTATTTTAGAAGATATCAATTGTTTTGATTTTGAAATATAATGTAGCTTTATTATGTAAATTATGTTTTAAGTATCATATTTAAATAATAATGAAAGTCCCTTTATTTTTGCCCCTATCCATAGTCCAGATTAAGGAAAGGGCAACCAAGATTTTTTGTTGTTGTTGTTGAAAACAACTTTTAATTGGTTACACCCCTCACACTGGCCAGTAGGCAGGTTAGAGCAGCACTGGTTTCCAATAATACGTTCAACTGTTGATAATTGAAAAATAGGGTTATTTTAAAATGCTAGCATTCTTGGTGTAAATAAGACAAATTTGCATTGTTATGACAAAAGTTTGTATTTTTATATAGTTGGATCTAATGGTCTTATTTGCTGTTAAAAATTTACAATGATTTCAAAATTGCTGAAAATTGGACTTTATAAATGAATGGACAATATACTTTTTAATATATTTGAAATACATATTCTAAACTGCAACAAGCCGCTAACAAAAAAAATATCCTAAAAATTGTTCTAGAAAAAATTATACACTTGTTGAAAGTGAGAAAAAAATTATAAGGTTCTAAAGTATTCTATTTTGTAAATCAAGGAGCCACTGCATTAAAGCTATAATTATCTATATCTATATAACTATCTATAGCTATATTATTATTTCTAAACTGTTGTACTAGAAAAACTGAAATTTTAAATTTAACCTATCTACATAATAATAATATGTAAAAATCAGGAAAATCAGAGATAGTGTCCCACAGTCCATTAGTTGAAATATAATGAACTAACCAATTAGTAAAGATAAAAGATTTGAAGTTTATTATTCAAAGCGTAAATAGAAACTTGATTCTAATAAATCTAGCATTTTAGTTTTTTTGAGTTAAATTTTAGTTTTAGTTAAGTTCTTTGTTCTCTTTTGTTTAGATTTATTTTCTTTTTTAAAATAAACTTTTCAGTGCATTTTAAAATTTTGAAAAAATGTTTAAAGCAATAGTTAAATTGTCACAACAAATTATTATTTGCCTTCCTGACTAAATTTCGCTTTAAAAAAAGGCTCAAGACATATTTTAGACATTTTAAACATGCCTTGAGACCACTGGGTAAAACTAACCACTTTAAAAACATTAACAGTATATTTTATATAAATAATTATTGAAAGAAATAATAATAAGCTACAAAAATAATACATTTTTCATAAATAGATTCAAATTAGTAGACATTAAAGATGAGGATGTTCAATATGATGTAGACGATGAGCAAAATGTATAACAATGTATAACATTCTTGAATTAGCATTCAAGAATGTTATACATTGTTAGATTGTTTAAACAAATGTATAACACTCTTGAATTAGCAAGAATGAAAATGCATGTCAAATAAGACATAAAATCCTATTTGCTTTAGAAACACATGCAAAATGATCATTTTGTTTTACACATAATAAAATGTGATCATCGTATTTTAGTGTCACGTGTGTCATGACATTAAAATCAGTTTCAAATTCTTCAATATCCAATTACCAACATAATAATTACTAGTATTTGAATTCACTTTTTTCTTCTAATGATATGCATGATTTTACATTTTTGTGTAATTACTAGCATACTCGAGTCATTGGACTAATTAATAATAACATTTAAATTTTAATTATTTACTTATATGAATGTTGTATGAGCTGTATTTAATAAAAAAGCCAAAAAACAATACCAATTTTACCTTTTTTTTATTTGGAATATCAATAGATTCTTTTATATTATATTCTTCATCTTCTTCACTTTTCTTAGTTTCTTCTACTTTTTCTTCTTTAAAATCATCACATATATTATTATTTGGGACAAAACTTTCTTCTGATTCCTTTTTATAAAACAATTCATTTTGAGAAGACGAATCTTTATTATCTAAATTGGCAAGCATAATATTTTCTGGTTCGAGATGATTTGTAACTGTTTTTTCACATTCAGTATTTGGTTCAATTTTTTTTTTCTTTTTAATTTTGGTTAATAAATTATTCATCTTTTGCTTTTTGATATGAGATCTTTCTGAATATTTTCTATTTTCATGGTTAGTTTTTTGCTTAGAGTAATCATTACTTTGAGTTTTTTTTGAAATTTCTTCATCACTACTATCATTAAAACTAAACTTCTTTTTTGTAGGATTTTTAGAATTATCAGATTCAAAAATAACTGATTCAACATGCTCGTTTGTTAAAAGATCAGAATTCTTAGATTCATTTATAATAGATTTTTTTAAACTAATAACTTCATCTTCAGAATCGCTAGAGACACCTAAATTTTTATTTTTATTGCTTTTCGCTTCTGATGATAAAATATTTTTAAATTTCTTTTGCTTTGTTGATAAAACTTCATTTTCTGAATCATAATTGTCATCATTTGTATTTAAAGTAGGTATATTTGCATTTGAGTTACAGTTAACAGAACTGTTGTTAATATCAATCAATGCAACATTATCACCAGATATTTTTTCACTAAAACTCAATCTTTTTTCTAAATTATACGACTCATATTCTTGACCTTTCAGGACAGAAGCTTGAAAGGACCCCTCTATAGACCCCTCTGTTGTTTCCTCTACCATCATCAATAAATGTTTTATAGAGATTTTATAACCAAATTTTATATGTAATTCATAAAATAACAAGATAATTCGTTGATATTTAAAACGTCATTGACCATAGTTTAATTTTCTTATAATTGTTTGATAATTTTTTGGATTTTGCTTTGTCAAATGATTTCGCGCTCAATCTTTAAATTGTTTTCCGTATTTATTTTTACCGGAGGTTTTGGAGTTCTTTTCGATTTTTCAAATCGAAATGCGACTTTTTCGATTTTTTGAGTCGAGATGTGACTTTTTCGATTTTTCGATTCGAAATGCAATTTTTTTCGATTTTTCGAATCGAAACGCAATTTTAGAATCGAGAAAATTTTTGAATTGTTTTTTTTATTCTTTTGTATTTTTAATAAGTAACTTTCCTTGTAAGTAATATATTTTTCTTTATGTCTATTTTTTTTTAATAATATTTCGTATTATTATTTAAATAACGCGTAGTTTAAAGGGTTTTTTTTGTTTTTTTTGTTGTTGTTGTTGTTGTTTTTTTAATGGATTTAATGATTTTAAAAACAATGATTGACAAAATTAAAATTAATGATTGACTCCTTGAAAACAAATACCTCTAACTAGAAGAAAGGAACACATTTTTAAAAAAAGACGCGGATTGTCAAATTGTTAATAAGTTTATTTTGTAAAGCACGTTATTTTCATTTTTTAAATGCAGTTCACCTCCCCAAGGCTAAAAAAGCCATAAAAGTTAAGGAAGCTACTTTCCGTTTTTAATTGTAGTTACAATGCTTTCTCAACTTTTTAACTCCAAAATACGAACCTTACGAACAAGAACCGAAGAACAAGCTTTACGTGTCAAACTTGCCAAAATAGTTCGAGTATAGAACTTATTAAGATTACTAAAATGCTTTTTTTCAAGATAGTAAATCATTTTTTCAAAAAAAAAAAAAAAAAAAAAGGTTGTGTATAAATTTCCCAGTTATAACTTTCTGTATTCTAAGAATCAAATTTAGAAATAAATGTTAACTTTCTCTTGTTAATCAAGAAATAAATAATTTTTTAAAATTATGATTCACTCCAAAGAATGCTGTGAGCAACCACTAGTTAAAAGTTAATAGAAAATGAAGAATATAATTAAGGTTAAAAAAGTTATGGGTTGTATGAGTCAGGAAAACATGAAGATGGAAGAGAGTTTCAAACGAATGAAGTACGTGGAAAAAAACTAGATGAATAAAGGTTTTTAGAGCAAGCAGGAACAGATATAGTCTAACAGATATACATAAAAGATATAAAGGATGGTACTTTCATGGTACAAATCAAACAAGAATGAGTAAGTGAGAACGTTGCCATTCATCAATATAGAAATGTTGAGTTTTGTTGGAGCTAAAATTCACAAGCCACTGCAAGCCCCAATCTGTAACAGAAGTGAGATCAGATTCAAGATTGGCTGCCTATTCTAAGCAATCAAAAAGTGAAGACTTTTTGTTAAGACAGGAGTATAAAGTTAAATCATAATCGAATAAAGCCACTTTTGATGTAAAGTTGTCGGGGAGATCATTAACGTAGAAAAGAAACAAAGCAGGGTCATGGTTAGAACCTTGATGTACTTCAGAATTTATTGGAAATGAAGAAAAGTGGATGACTATAATTAGGCGATTAGAAAAAAATGGTTTAGTAAAATGATCACGATGTCAAAATTTATCAAAAGTTTGATATATGTTGAGTGCATTAGCCCGAGCCTAACAGATGAATTGATTATCTGACAGTAAGTTAATTACTCTAGATGGGATTTGAGAAATTTATTGATCAAAAACTAAATGATCTCGCTAATAACAGAAAGAAGACTGATCAGACAAAAGCTGGAGGGGTCAGAATGTTCTCCGGAGTTTTCAAAATTTAAAACCACAGATACCATTTTCCAGCTAACAGAAAAAAAAGATTCAGTCGGGCATTTATTAAATAGTTTAGAGAGAATTGAAGAAAGTTCTGGAGAACAATTTTGTAAGACTACCACAGGAACGTTGTCTAGAACACAAGCCGTAAACGAGTTTAATTAAAATATGGCTTAAGCAACGGAAGCTGAAATAACTTGAATGCCTAACAATGGGTTAACCTGTTTAACTAAATAGGAGAAAGAGTATGGACATTAGAGTCAAATTAAAATTTCTTTACCAATAGTTCTGCCTTATTCTTGGGAGAGAGGGTTAGATTAATCTTATGAATGAGAGATGAAATGTCAGACCTACCTTTGTTAATGACGCCGATGAAGATTTTCAATTGATTGTCTTTAGAGCCTAACTTCTGAGATAAGATACGAGATTTGATAATTTGGGATTAATGGAGTTTAACGTCATTTTTCATTATTTTTTTACAATAATAAATAGAACTTTGTTTTCAATAGGGAAACTTAGTTAATATGTTTGATAAGTTTGTCTTTAATAAATTATAAAAGTTCAAATGGTGAATCTAATCTTTCAACACTTCACAAAAAATCTTAAAAAGGTAACAATGGTAGTTACAAAATAAAATTTGTAAAGATCAGCCTTTAAGAGTGAATCCAAAAGGACACGGCGTCAATTGAATCAAAGCTTTACAAACACACAAAAAAACTAAAACTCCACTAAAAATAATAAACTCGTGTTGTAACGCATCCTGCATGGGCGGATCCAGCATTTTTTGAACTTAGAGATTGCTAACTTCCAGACATGGAGCAAACTTTAAACTTTTATATGTTTGTACTTGTGTCAAATAAAGATGCTTTGCAAAAAATTGCGTTGATTGGAGGTTAGAAACAAAAAAGCCCAAAAATTTTCGCCCCCCTGCCCGAAACGTGAGAGCAACAACTTGATGAAATAATTTTTATACTATTTTCAACAAGACTTATATTCATCAATAAATTTTAAATTTCATAGTAAAATAATTTAGCGTTCAAAAATTAAGACCATGTAAAGTTTGCTATTTTTTTGCAACCTTCCTCAATTTGAGGGGGTTGCAAATTTTATATGGTCATAATTTTTGAACGCTAAATTATTTTACTACGAAATTTATCGATGAATATAAGTTTAGTTAAAAATAGTATAAAAATTATTTCATCAACTTGTTGCTCTCACTTTTGGGGCAGGGGGCGAAAATTTTAGGGCTTTTTTGTTCCTAACCCCCAATCATCGCAATTTTGTGCAAAGCATCCTTATTTGACATAAGTATAAACTTTGTGACTTTTTACTCGTAAATCGAAAGAAGTCGCATTTTAATTAATTAGCAACTGATCGTAATCGAAAATATCGCAATCGTAAATAATTGCCCGCGAGTCCTTTTCTATAAATCGCTATCGAAATTTACCGCATAATCGAATTGCGGTAACGCCGGTGCTTAATCTTGACACCCTTTTTAATTTTACAACAAAATAGTTACCGTCAACCGGGGTGACTCCGGACAATTTTCGAAGAAAATATTAATCTGTTTCATTAAAATCAATACAAAATGGAAATATTTTTGTGGAACGTACCACTGTAATTATAAAGAAAGTGAAGAAATTTTGGCTTTCAGCTTTCCAATATGTTATTAGCATAAAAAAACGGTTTAAAAATCAAAAAATCAAAATCGGGAAATGGGGTGACTCCGGACACTTGAAGCTTGAGATTTTAAAAGTTGAAATTTCAACATCAAGAGTTTTAAAATGAATGTATAACTATGTAAAAAAGTTGCTTAATTAAATTTTTTTAATTTTTAATTAAGCAATTAATTTTTTATTTCAAATAACAAAACAAAAAACAACAACTATTGATAAACTATTTCAAATATACATATAATAATGATACAACTACAATGATTAATTATGAAGAATCAATTACTAATCTTTCTTATTTTGTTTAAATTATTGACAACTGTAAAAGTAAATCATATACAAATCATTATCTTTTAAAAAAATTTAATAAAATTTATAGTTTAGGGCATACAATGCAATCAGTCGACATGGCATTTTCCAAACACTTTGAATGATACCAACGACCACAACGTTCACAACCAGTCCAATCAATTAAAATTTCTTCTTCTTCTTCACTGATTTCATCGTTTTCGTCATTACCATCTTTTCCACAGATGAAACAAAGATCAGTTTCAATATCTTCAACAACATTTAAAACTGCCCCAGATGCAATGTTCAACTTATTGCCCCTGGGTTTTTTTGTTTCACATGCACCACGATAATACATTAGCAAAGTTGTAGCCGAATCATTTAAAAGGGATGCTGTTGATGTACCAGGTTCCTTGTATTCAGGAATTCTTTTTAAAACCTTTATACGGTTTATTGGATAAAGTCCGCATGTAATAAAGCCAGAAACCAAATTCTGACACACTGTGTCTTGCAACTTAAGTGATAAACTTTTTAATAGAGCTGGAAAATGTTCTTTGGGAAAGCATCCAGTTTTTCTGCTTTGTTTTCTCCACTCATATAATACATGTTTCCAACAACGCTTCATTGGACCAAAGACAGATACATCTAATGGCTGCATTAAATGTGTGGCATTTGGTGGCAACATAGCAAAGTAAACATTATGCTCCTTAGCAAGTTTAATAACGTCTGGATTAAAATGAGAGGCCAAGTTATCTCCTAAAAGAAGCTTGGGTCCATTTAAATTCTGAACGTTCGGCAAGAAGCATTTTTCAAACCACTAGGCAAATGTCTCCATATCAAACCAACCTGATTTTGTGCAACTGTATATTGTTCCCTGTGGCCCTCCTGTTACCCAACCTTTATAAACGTTCGATGCTCTATAAACTACCATAGGTGGTTGTAGTACTCCTGAAGCAGAGCAACACCACATAAGAGATATAGAAGTTTTACTATGTTCTTGAACGTTTTCCACTCGTCGTCTTCCTCTTCGAACTAAAACAAACTTTTTTCCAGGATCATCTGAAAGGTTTGTCTCATCGAAGTTAAATATGTTTGAAGGTTGAATACCACCAAGAGATTTATAAGTTCTTTCAAATTGATCAAAAAAATTATTTATCATTTCTACTCCTAACTTTGATCTCGATCGTTTAATATTTGAAGCATTTTTCCCAGAAATATTGTTTTGTTTCATAAAAGAATTTAACCAGTCATTTCCAGGTATCTGCAAATTGAAACTGTTTGACCCATTGCGATTTTTGAGGAAATCAAAAGCCATTATTCTGACTTCTAATCTTCCAATAGGAAAGCCCCAATCGGCAACAGCTTCTAGCATTTGAGCAATGAGTACCTCATCTGCTTTGCTTATAATTGTCTGGCCTCCAACCTTTTTTAAGGTGGGTTTTCTAATGTGATCATGCAATGTTGATTTTTTGACTTTATGCTTATCAGCAGCTTTTCAAATACTCATGCCTTCACTGTGATCTTCTATAGCTTTTTTTATATCTTCTTTAGAGCTTGTTCCATACAACACTTTTAAGTTTAGTTTATGTTTGTAGTTTCGCGCCATCACTAAAAGAAACTGAAGTAGAATAATAAGTAATGCTCTGTCCGGAGTCACCCCGCTGTCCGAAGTCACCCCGGTTGACGGTATTAAATGATTATGTTTAAATGCTAAAAATTAAAAAAATTAGTTTATATTTCATGATAACCTTAAAGGTATATAGATGTTTAATTATATAAAAAGCTCATTAAAAATTCAAAAATAACTAGAAGATCACATTGAAGTAGTTTACTACAATGTGATCTGGAAGTTAATGTTTTCAATGATCTGAAATTGGGACACCACATTAAAATTTTTTTGAAGTCAATATTAAACTGGGCTCAATAGATCTTTTAAAAAATCAATAAAACTAGTATATTGGAATAGTTAGACTACATTTGGAATATGCATCATAAGCATTGAATCTAAGAACACTCTAATAATAAATGCTTAACTTATAAAGTTTATTCAAACAAAAAACATTAATATTTGGCGCAATGTTCCGTAAAAACATGAAAATGTTAAAACTAGAGGATACAACCAAAGTATTGAAAAATTAGTAAAAACTAATTATTCAAATACCCAATTTTTCCAATTAAACATTGGAAAAGATTATATGAAAGTACAATTAATCCAATTTTATTAAATGACTTAAAAACAAATTGCAAAAAAGTTAGAATGTATGTAAAATTTGTTGTTAAAGTCTTACATGTACTGATGTTATTCTTTAATTTTTATGAAGACAACACTTATCTATAAATAGTGATATATTAAATTGATTAGTGAGCCTAAAAGATTATTTGAAAAGGAAAAATATGAAGATTTGAATGTATGAATGTATGTAATTAAGAGGAATACCAAATATGATTAGCTAAAAATGTTTTATAGCAATAAAATTATCTGGTGCAATGCATCTTGTTCTCTTAGCAAACAAAGAAACAAAAAATTTTATATAAATTTTTGAAATATAAAATAATTTTTTTTAACATTATTTTATTTACTATTATCAGAGAAATTTGTTGAACTTTTTTCATAATACTAAGTTAATTAAAGACAAATTTTATCTTAATGTTTTTTTATATTTAACATTACTGTAAGTTTAAACATTTAACAACTAATTTCATAGCAACCAGGAATTCATAAAAGCAACATGATCTAAATTTTGTCAAAATTTTTAAATGAAATATCTCAAAAAGCTTTAATCACAGGTTTTTTTTTCTTGTTTTTTTTTTTTAGTAAAATTTTAAAATGAGATAAATATTTTATATACATTTCTGAGACAGGCTATGGTCTTACTATGGCAGTGTATACAAATATACAAATAACAAAGAGATATATTAACTATGTATTAAATTATAATAATATTATATTTTCCAATGTTTTACAATAAACATATTAAACTGAAAACTTTAAAAAATAATCCTTTTTTTTTTACTAATTCTTAAGGAATCTCATAAAAATAGTAAATGGAGATAGTTCGAAAATTTTTAAGTCAAGTTTTGACAGCGGAAGATGCTAACCATCTATTACCTCTACTAGTTAAACTAGGTGCAACTTCTTTGTCAGATTTACAATTTTTGGATGTTGAAGCAGACCTAGCTAATGTGTTACCACCTATAAAGAGACGAAAATTAGCAGCGGCTTTAGGAAATACAGCTTGTTTATCAACTGTTTTATTTCAGAACAGAGTGAATATATGTGGTATGTTTGTTGTGTTTTTAACTTTTTTTTTTAATAAACTTCTTTATTAAAAACTTTGTTTTTATATTACTAACAAAATTAATTTTTTTACATTATTAGACTTACACTGTATTACACTGTTTTTTAGAACCATTTCCAACATTTATTTGTGAAAGAACAAATAGATTTGAAAAACAGGTTTGAACTTAAATTATTTTTGTAGTGAAGTTTGTTAGTGAAAATTAGATATACTTTATAAAATTGTTAATCAATCAGCTTTAGTAAACAGCTCTATTTTATTTTACTTACTTTTGCCAAATCTATGAAGACAAAATAGTAAAAATATTTTTAAGAAAATAACTAGTTGTTGCTTATTCATTCTAGAATGTTTCAATAATGAATGCACTAAAAAATCACCCATTTAAGAATATTTTAATCAGTGAAGCAGAAAAGCCTATAATGGATAAAAAAATACATCGTCTTCTTGTTAAAGTAGCATGCAGTCACTTAATTGACTGCTTTGGAAAGTGAGTTTTCAAATATTATTTTTGCACATGTGTTATTATTTTTTTTAATATTCCAAGTTATAGGCCTAAATTTTTTTGTATATACTATTTTTGTTTTTAGCTATTACCTTTATTGATTTGAACTACTTTATGATTAAAATTTAACTTGATTAACTATTTATAGATATCCCCCACCAGAGTATCAGCTGGCTATGGCTAAAAGCATTGTGACAACCTTTAAATACAGGTCATGCAGAGGTGGAAATGGATACGTAAGTTTTATATTTAAATTACTTGGCATAAAAGTTAATCTTAATTTTGTTTAATCATTATAAATTATAATTATTCAATTTTTAAATTATAAATTCTAACAAATATCGCAAGGCAACTTTTTGACCTTATTGGCAAAAATTTGAAATTTTGTTTTTAATTTGCCTAAATTCAACAACCAATTGAATTGAAATACAGTTATCATTTTCATTCTAGAGTGTTAAATTTCAAGTTCAGTTTTGGTATTAGGAGAATAATGACTAGATTCAAAAATTAGCTTAAGTTATGTTCTTGTAATAATTTGATTGGGTGCTTCATCTCACCTTCAAAGCTAGCTTTAAAAATATCTTATAGATAAGCAATTTTTTAAGTTAGATTTACATTGATATTGGTGTGGTATACTTAAATAGATAAAAAGTAAATCTAAATCCAAACTTATTGCAGACTCTTCTAATTACTAAGATCCAGGAAAATTAAAACTCTGTTCTGCTCTTTTTCTTTTTGATGTTTCAAAGGCTTTTATGGCTTCTTATTTAAAAAAAAAAAGTTTTACAAAAGGAGCCCCATCAAAACTTATGTTGTAACATTTATAATATCTGAGATAATTTTGTTCTGTAAAAAGATTAAAATCAAATTTATTTTTGTTAAATGTTACAGAATGAAAAGATTTGTTAAATTTTGTCAGCTTTTAATGTTTAAAAAATAAACCTTTCTTGAATTTCCAATAAACGCACAGAATTGATGATTTTAGCTAAATATTTATAATTCTTAGCTACATTATATCAAAAATAATAGAAATACCTATATTTTTTGATAGTTATTATTGAATATAAACATTTTAAGATTAATTCAAGCCAATAAAAGTTTTACTTAAAGCTAATGTGAACAAATTCAGGGATTGACAGAGTTAGACAGAATAGCAAAAAAAAAAAAAAAATTTATAAATAATGTTTTTAAATGGTGTCTGTGTTTTGAAACTAAATAAATTTTAAAATATTTTATATATTTTAGTTCTGTGTATTGGTTTCCACATATATTTTTTGAGTGCATATTCATTATAATAAGGTGATGGGAAGATGACCTTTATTAGATAAATGCACTTTAAATCAATTTTAATACAATTATGCTATGAAATATAAAATATATAAGAAAAGTTGCTTTATATTTTCTAGGCCCAATAATTAAAAGTTATATTATTTAAGAAAATTTTATATGCATTAGTTGATACTAATTTTCTATTCCATTATTTCAGCAAAATGAAAACTTCTGTTTACTTTAAGAAAACAAGAAGCAGCTTGTGTTTACAAATGGTTTTTTAAATTTTCTGAAGGAAAGTTCAACTAAAATAAAATAATTTTGCAAAAACAATAAAAATGTTAATTTAATTACTGATTTAAAATATTCAAGTAAACTGTTATATACTGTTGTGGTTTTTGATAAGTTAAATGAAAATACTAATATCATAATCGCAAAACCCAGATAATAACAAGGGCCGAAATCTCTGCTATAAATCTGTTATAACTCTTCAATTAGTACATCATTATTTAATGTTTTTTATATAAAAACAAGCTCTGCTGCTTTACTTTCTATTGGTAATAGATTTTTTTAAAACAGATTAACTATATACATAGCTTTTGTTGAATGAAGCAGATTTACCTTTTAAATTTAATTTTATTGTTAATAATTCTTAAAATATTTATCTGCAAAGGTCATTGCAGCTTCATTTTCATTTTCAAAAAGATTAGAAAAAGATAAAAATGATAACATCTTTACCAGCTCTTTAAATATTTCAACAGTCACTTACCTTTGTTTGATCTCTTTGCAACTTATCTAGACTGACTCCAATTGGTTTTAATATTTTTAATAAATATTCTGCATTTCACTTTATCTGTATGTCACTTATTTATTATTAAACCTTTTTTACAAATATTGTTAAAATGATGCTCCAGTTATTGAAATATTTTTTAAGTGAATTGTATACATAATTTTAACGTATTTCTTTTGCTGTAGCTCGATGATAATTTCGTATATATTTTATTATTTGTTTGTGTTAAAAACTTACCTATTTTCAAACATTTACCGATTAAAATTGAAGTGGGCTGAGATCTTTTGATTTATTTTGTGATGTTGATAGTGAATTATCTGAAAATGAAATTGCAGTGTATTGATTAATTTCAAATTAATATGTCGATACATTAAAGAAATTTAGTTCTTTAATGTATCGACTTTAATGTAAACGTTTCTTTAATTTTGCATAAGCAAAATTAAAGAAACGTGATGTTTGTTTTACTGTCTGTCTTTTAAGAAATGCGCGCACTTTTGTCGATTTGTCGCACCCTGTATCCTATTAATTTTTTAATAAAATTTTAAACTTGCACCACAAAATTTTATTAAATTTCATGGCACTAAACAGCCTAAGTTACTTACATTTTTAAACATCAATTTCTAAAAAAATAAATAAAAAATCTGAGGGGAGGGGGACCCTTTCCCTCACAATGGATTCGCCCTTGTATTAGTCTAATTATTTATGGGAAGGAATGATAAAGACTATTAGAGCTGTGATAATTTTTTTTTTTCACTTTTGTTTACAAATAAGTTTACATTAATTAATAAATGTTTTGATTTTTTTTTCTGGTTTTTATTTATTTTATCATTCTTTGAATATTTTATTTTTGTGTTAATTTTTGTATTATATATTATTTTAAGGATTTTATTGACTTTTCAGTTTATGGATTGTTTATTTTGATTTTAATTTGCTTTGTTTTTTTTAAACGCGCAAATGATGAAAACTTGCAAAGAGCCGTGGTCAAGTTGTTAAAACAAAGAACTTTATGCGTGGTCATATAAGGCGTGCGATCGCACGCCTCTTATGAGAAGGCCTACAAGATGCAATCGATTTTGCAAACAAAAACACATTTAAAAAAAGAATAGACAAATTCTGAATTTTTGATACCAAACTACACACATAAACTATTTTTATTAACAAAATCTTACATTTAAAGGCTTTGCAGTTTTGGTTTACCAAACTTAAATAATTTTTACAGCATTTTTTGTATTATTTTATTGAAAAATTCAATTTAAGGCAGAAATGGAAAAATATCTTCTTGAGCAACAACTCTTTGCTTATTTTTGGGGTCTGATGTCTCAAGCAGCTAAAACAGTTAAACTAGTTATGGTATATAATGGTATAATATATGGTACTTGAGTAGTATGTAATATGTTGACGTTAAATTTTTAAGTTTTATATTTTATTTTATAAAGTTAAATTATAGTATTTATAAAAACCTTTTGGAAAACAAAAACACAAGTTTTACTGGAAATCAAGAAAAGTGTAAGCTTTCAAAGATGACTTTTATACTGCGTTAAAAAAGGAATAATTTAATAATCTCAAAAACTTTCCTAGATACATGATATGAAGTCACCTTTCTTTGCAAAGCAGACCAGTGTGCCAGACTTTATTGAAAAATAAAGTTTTGCACACTAATCTCAAGATGAGATGAGAACTTTTACACTTTTACACTTAGACTTAGATAAAATATTATAAATTTATTAATTTAAAGGATTAAAGACTTTAGCAATAATAGAGAGAAAACTAATTGGACAATAGTTAGAAGGGTATGAGTGTTCTCCATAGTTTTTATAAAACGGAAACATAGAGGTCATTATCCAGTAGACAGGAAAACAAGATTCAGTTTAGCACTTGTTAAATAATTCATAGAGTATTGAAGGGAGTTCTGGAGAACAGTTTTGTAAGATTGAAACAGAAATGCTTGGTCACAAGTTGTAGATGAGTTTAAAAGAAAAAATAACTTTAGCAGAGTGATTTTAACAATCGATGTCTAACAATGGATTAAACTGTTTCTCTGGAATGACAAGTAGAGTGTGGCCACTAAATTTTTTTTGTGGTTGTTAAGGTGCTCCAAGAATTCCTAATGATCTTATCGTGGTAGAGCATTTAAGTAGGAATTTCCTCCTTCTTTACTAATGTTGCTTATTTGGATAGAGTTGGTTTGAAGGCTCTTAGTTCTGAGGATGAACTCTAACCAAGAAGTACTAAAAGCCTCCATATCTGTCTGGATCCACTAGGTTTTGTAATAGACACAATTATCAGCAGAGAGATAAAAGACACTACGCAAAGGTCCTTCACAAAAAAAAAATTAAACAAAAAGAATCCCATTCTGCCTTTATGGTAGTAGTAAATAGTGGGAGTCTGAGGAAGAAGTATGAGATAAAAGATTTTGAGAGATCATAGCATGGTCTTTACTGCTTAAAAAAAAAAGAGGAGAAACTGAACACAAGCTAGGGTCAGAAATAAAAAAGAAATCAAGAAATGAAGGTAAGTGATCAGGTTTATCTGGAAAATGAGTCACAAAGTCAATAAGTGATTGAGAAATAAAATAGTTAATAGATAGATGTGATTTTTCCAAATGCCATTTCATATTGTAAATCTTTTGATTTTTTTATTTGCATGACGCATGAAATCACTTTATCATTTAACTTTTCTGTAATCTTGCATGTAACCAGTTTTGAATTTTATCAATTAAAAATACTTATCTTGAAACCTCTCAGGATCATTTGAGTTTAAAGCTATTTTTATAAAAAACTATGAAAATAAAGTAAATGACAAACTTTAAAGATAAGAGAAATGATAAAAAAGAAAGTATAAACAAAAATAATATCAATAATATAAAAAAAACAAAAAACGTTTAAATCTTTTCCTAATTTTATTTGGAACTCATATATTTAAATCAATTTTAAAAATGTTTCAACTAATTAAAAACGTTAAAGCAAATCATGTGACAAACACACAGATAAAGTATTTTTTCGTTAAGGATTGTCCATAAAGTACGTAGATAAAGGATCATACATAAAGTAGGCTTCAATGGGGGAGAGGGGTAAAATTTTGAGTAGGTAAGTCAAAAGGGTAGGTACTTTTAGATAAAAAAAGTATCTACCCTTTAAATTTCGAATGTGTAAAGCAAAATGCCGAATTGTGTTAAGA